TCGCCGGTTTTAGGGTGAGGGGAGGGTGCACGCGCACTGGGAATCCACCTTCGCGAGCGCTCGCGCCCGAGCAAGTCGCTAGTCCTGTGACTCCTCCCTACTGGCCCAAAGAATTCCGATTGGTACATTACGGAGGTGCTCTGGCCCCATCTTTCTGGCGGCTTCCTGTGGTTGTGCAGATACAGAGCCTTGGTTTTAGGCTGCTCGCGCTTCGCCTGCTGCCGTTTGCGTGGGTTCTGGAAGCCACAGGCTAAATAAAAATAACAAGAGCAGCCATCTCGTATGAGTGCACAGTATGCTAGATTCTACGCATAGAGATTCAGTGGCTCCTGTATAAGCCGGGAGACAGTGGAGGGCCTGGAACTAGGATTTTTTTCTAACCGCACAGCCGGTACTTCGGTTGAGAGACCTGCTGTATCCAAGTCTCACAGCAAGCTTATTATTATAGAATTTACTTATGGTGCTGAGAATTGAACGCAGGGCTTCACGAATGCTAGGCAAACATTCTATTTCTAGCTGCGCCATATCCCCCTCCCCGCAGCGAATTGAAATTGGTAAAACTTTCAAGCGGTGGAAAGTCTCCTAAGCCTATCTTTGAGTGCGTTTAAAAATTACACATTGTTTTGTATCTTCCCTCCCTGTATCTGGCTTGTGAGATGTGGAGTCCGTGAATCTTCATTTTGTTTTTAACAAGCCCCTTGATTTCTGAGGCATAGCCTGTTTTGGAAATAACAGTACTGCAGTGTCCCCATTTGGCTTCACACTAAACTATGCTGCTTGTGACCTACAAAGTGCACCTAACTTGTGCATCAGTATCACAGGACGTTTCTTGGGAATAATATTTTTCAATAAAGGTGAACAATATGTGTAATGTGTTCGCATGCTCTTTTCCTCAAAAGATTATTCAGAGTGTCTTTTCACTCAGTATGGGTGGTTTGGGATGGTGCCCCTCATTTATGATATGTATTTGTTTATTTTTCTCTGGTCTAAGGGTACTGGTCTAAGTGCCAACTACACAATTTGTGGTGCCCAGTACACAAAATGAAAACATAGACCCCTTATTTAAAAATTGTTAATAGCTGGGTATGATGGCATGTACCTGTACTCTAAGCTCTTCAGGAAGCTGAGGCAAGAAAATGGCATGATTCCGGGAGTAGGAGACCAGCCTGTAAAATTTAGCAATATCCTGTAAATCAATCAGTCAGTCAGGGTTGGAATATTGCAGGCTGGATGTGCAGCTCAATGGTACAGCAGTTTCCTAGCATGCTCAAAGCCTTGGCTTTGAGCCCCAGCATTACCAAAAAAAAAAAAAAAAAAAAACAAAACCTCAAGATGGTGACATCAAAGCGTTAAATCAAGCTGTAGGCCACCCTGGTACAGGATCCCTGTGCAGCCATGCAGGAAAAGCCGGTGAAGGTGAACCTATTGTTTAGAAGGCTTGAGAAGTCCTGTTTTCATCCCCCAAATCTCTAGATCCCCCCGCCATCCCTGCCCTGCATGTTCCCAACTTACTCTGTTTCCTTGCTCTCTGGCTGTGCAACATTCACAGGATCAGTGACTCTCTTCTCTTCTCTTTGCTCTCCAGCTGCCGATTCACGAAGTCTTCTGGGCCCCCGTCCACTCTGCTGCTGACCAGCCTACTCACTTGTGCTGAGCCTTTCTGCAGGCTTTCCCCTAGCCTCTGTTGGACCCTGAGAAGTGGGAGTCAGTCCAGCTGGAGAAGAAAACCCTCTCATGCTAACCTTGCAGACCCCAGAGGGTGAGAGAAAGGGAGACTTCATTCAGCCTTAAAACCTGTAGGCTAAGCCCCCAAGGAATAGTTCCAAATCTCATTGTTATCAAGGCCCTCTATGATGTACGTGTCATGTTGCCCCTGCATTTTTTATTTGCTAAACTGTACCAATGAAGTAACCTTTCATTTTTCCCTTTCCAAATGAACAAAGACTTCTATGAGTGTACAATAAAATCAATATCCTGATGATTTCTATGATGTTATTAACAGCCAATCAGAGCACCTGATCAGCTTGAGCTAATCAGTGGCCACATGAGTTGGTAAAATTTCAGCATGCAAAGATAATGTTTAAATTTGCCTTTGTGTTTTTATTGTGGGTAAAAGTTTGATTTCTTGTGGGTGTTGTAACATATTGAAGACAATTTTAGCATCACTATAATCAGATCTCACTTGGCACCCTAGTTGTCCAACAGCCCTGGCTGGGAACCACTTTGGCCATTGAGGCTTTTGCTGGGTGTGCTTTAGGTGGGGGTAGTAAGGAATACAAATCTGAAGGAGCTGGCCTCCTTGCTGATAGTGAGTTTTCACATGGGGATTCTGAAGGGCTGAAGTAAATAGTCCTCTCACTGGTTGTTTTAGCAAGATACTTTCCTGCCTTGTATAAAAGAGGTGACCAGTTAGACTCCATGCCCCTTGCCCGGTTGTGCTTTGTTTCATTTAGATTTTACTGGATGGGAGCAATAAACTCCTATCTCCCCCAAGAGGAAGAGTTACTACTCCTTGTAGGAATCGCTTCTCAAGGGCAGACCCTGTTCTGTCTTACCACTTTGGGTGCTTGTAAATGTTTGTACAATTAATAGAGATCATGTTGGATCCAGGAACCAAGCTGAGCTCTGGAGAGGTGACATTAGAGTCAGTTCCTATCCTGGAAATGTTGACAGACTAATGAGACAAACCCAATCCATAGACCAAACCATCTGAGTGTCACAGTGGTGGTGTTCATGGCATGGAGGAGGGGCCTTGACTATTTAGTGATAGAATAGTGTTGGTAGGTGGCAGTCAAGGAGGTTACCTGAAGGATGTGAGCCCATGGCAAGCCAGGCAGAGAACTGGGGAATATCAGTAGGAGGGTGCCCATCTTATGGCTGAGGTTATTGCAGCTTAGATCCCAGGGCTCCCTCCTGTGGTGCTGTGCTGGCCCTCAGGAGAGGTCAGGATGGGATTTCTCACTTGGGGTGGTCCCCAGGGTCCTCAGTTGTAATTGGTGGGGGAGGTGGAGCTGACAGTCTCTCATTTTCTGTGGCAGGTCCCGTGAGGGTGCTGAGATGGCCAATGAGAATCACGGCAGTCCCCGGGAGGAAGCATCCTTGCTGAGTCACTCTCCTGGTACCTCCAGTCAGAGCCAGCCCTGTTCTCCAAAGCCAGTCCGCCTGGTACAGGACCTCCCAGGTATTGGTGGGGGCTGTGCTGGGTGGTAGGGTAAGAAGGGTACTCTGCACTCATGACCTTGGCTGGGTTCCATGCTTATTTGCAGAGGAGCTTGTGCATGCTGGCTGGGAGAAGTGCTGGAGCCGGAGGGAGAATCGTCCCTACTACTTCAACAGATTCACCAACCAGTCCCTGTGGGAGATGCCTGTGCTGGGCCAGCACGACGTGATTGTAAGTGCCAGCCTAGGGCAGTGGTCTCAGAGCAGCCTCTGGTTTGTGAGCATTCTCCAAACTACCCTGTGCAGCTGTTAGGTGCCTAATCCTGTGCTGATACCAGCAGCTATAGCAACAAGTAATATAGACAGTCACTGCCCTCATGTAACCTACATTCAACAGGAGGCTGGCGATTAACTGATGACTATAGCAGTGTAGCCTAGTGAATTCGTTTTGTATGTTGGGCCCTGGGCCGTGAGACAGGCATGAGCAAGATACGTGGTGCTCACTACCTTCTTGCCATGCTCATGATCTATTGGGGGGAGCATCATGAGGGTTACAGTTGTAGCACTTGTGTCAAGAAGACGTTAGCAGTCCTGACCTAGTCTGGGGAAGGTAAGAGGGCAGGAAGAGCTCTGAGAATCTGTGTTGAAAGTGAGGCTAGCTAGGAAGAGCGTTCCAGGAACTGGGATGTTAGTGTGATGAGAAAATGCCGACTGGCTCTCTAATGGGATGTGAGCTTTTGGGTCTGTCTCAGCGGGGGCAGCCTTTAGTGGGTATAACCAAGCCAGGAGGCACCCCCACACTTGAAGAGGAAGAAAGGAAGAGAGGTGAAGAGAGGAAATGAGTAGCCCAAGGCTTTGCAGCTGTTAGTAGGTGGAACCTAATTTATACCTGGATGTGATTCAGGGACCTGCTCATTACCACATGTACTCTTGAAGTTCCATCCACACAGCCTTACTCTTTAGAAGATAAGCATTTGAATTTTTCCTTTATTCCTGATTTGTTTATTTATAATATCTGGGATTGAGCCCAGGCCTGTCCAGCATGCCATGACCTATATCCCTAACCTTCATTCTTACGGAAAGTAAACATGTCCGAGTGTTGATCTTATGCCCTGTGCTACACTAAAGTGTACTCACTGAATCATGTAATAATCTCAGTGGGAGGTAGGGCTTAGAATACCATTTTTAGTTGAAAAAACTTTTTTTTTTTTTTTTTTTTGGTTTTTTGAGATAGGGTCTCACTATGTAGCTCAGACTGGCCTTGAACTCAGTGTAGTCCAGGCTAACCTTGAACTCTCAGCGATGCTCCTACCTCGGCATCTTGTGTGCTGGGATTATAGAAATGTGCCACGACACCTAGCTAGCACGGCTATTTTAAAGGTGCGGGAATTAGGAAGGGAGTTAGCTTTCCCATGGCCACATGGCTGCAAGTAGCAGGGAGAAGCACAGTCCAGTGTTTTCTCTCTGCATCCCAGCCCTCTGTGCTCTTTGAGGAGTAGGAGTAGGGAGTGGGAGGGCATAAGGATTCCAAAGTACTGGGACTCTGAAGCTGCTGGTCCTGGTTGCAACTCTGCTGGTCTCCCTCCACCAGTCGGACCCTTTGGGGCTGAATGCGACCCCACTGCCCCAAGACTCAAGCTTGGTGGAAACCCCCCCGGCTGAGAACAAGGTCAGAAAGAGGCAGCTCTCGGAAGAGCAGCCAAGCGGCAATGGTGTGAAGAAGCCCAAGGTGAGTGTCTGGGGTTCTCAGGACCTGGCTGGTAAGCAGCCAGCTCAGGCAGGCAGCCAGCCAACAGGCTCCCTGCATGGGCTGGGCATCAGCAGCTGGTCAGGAGGGGGGGCCCTACACGCAGCTCACCACATGTAGTGTTGAGCCCTGGCTGCTAAGTCTTGACTGATGCTTTTGTGACTCTCGTGCTCTAGATTGAAATCCCTGTGACACCCACAGGCCAGTCAGTGCCTAGTTCCCCCAGCATCCCAGGAACCCCAACCCTGAAGATTTGGGGAGCATCCCCTGAAGATAAACAGCAGGCCGTTCTCCTCCGACCAACCGAGTGAGTCCTTGCTGACTGACTTGCCATTGCCAGTGGCCAGCCCGCTTGGGACTGGGTTGTGGCAGGCAGGGCATGTTCACTGATCCTGCCTCTGCCCCAAGGGTGTACTGGGACCTGGACATCCAGACCAATGCTGTCATCAAACATCGGGGGCCTTCAGAGGTACTACCCCCGCATCCAGAAGTGGAGCTGCTCCGCTCTCAGCTCATCCTGAAGCTTCGGCAGCACTACCGGGAGCTGTGCCAGCAGCGAGAAGGTAACTGTCTCCTGGCCCTCCGCCCCCTTGGTTTCCAGTCATTATTAGCAAGAGCTACAACAGCAGCACATGGGCTTGGGGTTGGCTCAGGGGGAGTTCAGTGGTGCGGATCATGTGCTGTGCAGTGAGAGACACCTGTTGGAGTCCTGGCTCCATCAGTCACTCACTGTGCTCTTGGGCTTACTGCTTAATTAACTCTTTTGTGCTTTGGTTCCCTATCTATGATAAGAATAGTAACAGTGCTTAGTGTGTGGCTGCAGCTTATTCTTTGCTACACGCTATCAGTACTTTTCACATGTCTGAAAAAAAGAGCATAAAAACAAGTGGTTTTACCTCCCAGGATTATTACAAGGAGTGAAATGGGCAAGTACTCAACAAACTGAAGTTTTTAATTTTTACAATTAGTATGTAAAGCTGTTTGATCTTGTTGAAATGTAGATCTCTCTCCTCTTTTGACCCTATTTAGTAATACTCTTGGTAAAACTAGTGATTCTCAAGATATACTTCGGGAAATAAGGCCTAGAAAATAAACTTCTGAAGCTGGGCTTGGTAGCACCTTGCTGTAATCCCAGCCCTCTGGGAGACAAGCAGAAAGATTGCAAGTTTGAGCTCAGCCTGGGCACCCTAACTAAAACTGTCTCAAGATAAAAAATAAGAGGCTAGGGATGTAGTTCAGTGTGAAGGTTCTAGATTCAATTCCCAGTATTACACACAAAAGAAGCTTCTTTATTTACTGCTGACATGGTGCCGCCTATGTGCCAGGCCCAGAGTAGAACCTGTTGACTAAACCTAGACTCTCAACATTTCTTCTGTCTTGCAGGCATTGATCCTCCTCGGGAATCTTTCAACCGCTGGATGCTAGAGCGCAAGGTGGTAGACAAAGGGTCTGACCCCTTGTTGCCTAGCAACTGTGAACCAGTCGTGTCTCCTTCCATGTTTCGAGAAATCATGAACGACATTCCCATCAGGTACAGCCTTACAGCTGGGTAGTGTGGTCTCTGTGCCCAGTCAAATGTGTAGAAGGGCCCCAACTTTGCCCACTCTCTCACCTAGGTTATCCCGAATCAAGTTCCGGGAGGAAGCCAAGCGCCTACTTTTTAAATACGCAGAGGCTGCCAGACGGCTTATCGAGTCCAGGTTTGACTCTCTACCCCATATAAGATGGATCCATGAGGGGAGGTCATAGGCCATCCCTTACTTACTCAAGGACTGTCCTTGCTCCCAGATACACAACAGGGGTTGATGCCCAACAGACCAGTGAAGTGGGATGGGAAGAGGGTGGAGCAGACACCTCAACAGCAGGATCTTGTGCACAGCTGAATCCTCTTTCCCTGCCTTTGACTGGCAGGAGTGCTTCCCCTGACAGTAGGAAGGTGGTCAAGTGGAATGTGGAAGATACCTTCAGCTGGCTTCGGAAGGACCACTCAGCCTCCAAGGAGGACTACATGGTGAGTGGGCCCTGGGGTGAGGCCAGTTGAAAGGCCCTGTGGCCACTCTATCCAGAATCCTGCTCTCCCTGGCCAGGTTCCCACAGCAAACCCTGGCATTTATCATCCCCCGGGCTTGTGACTGGAGATGTTTGTCTAGGCTCCTGGCTCTCTCTCAGAGACCATTTTCATTAATATTCTTAATGGAATCTCAGGCTTGGCCACACACAAAGAGCTATCTTTTCAATCTAATGAGTGTTCAACATCTCAGTAGATTTTTGGGAATAGACTGACAGACTAATTTTGTATGTATTCATATAGTTAAAAGCTACCATCAGGCTAGGTGTGGTGGCACTCACCTGTTACCCCAGCACTTGGGAGGCTGAGGCAGGAGGATTGCTGTGAGTTTGAGGCCAACCTGAATTGCATAGTGAGACCCTATCTCACAAAACCAAAAAAAAAAAAGCTACCATCAGATGTAATTTCTTCTTCTCAAATGTGTCCAGAACAATTCTGTTTTCTGACCAAAACCTATCACTTCTTTTTTTTTTTTTTTTTTTTT